ATATTTTAATTTATATATATATATATATATATATATATATATATATATATATATATATATATATATATATATATATATATATATATATATATATATATATATATATATATATAATTATATATATATATATATATATATATATATATATAATATATATATATATATAATCTGAGCTCAATTCTTCTTTTAATAAAAAAGTTTTGCTTAGCTTACCGGGGAGCAATACTAAAATTGTTGAAAGCAATAAAAGTTATGTTAGTTCGTATTTATTAACATTCAGACGACATTACAATATGATATGAGAAAGCTTATTATATAACAATTGCACTAAGTTTATGGTATAAAAATTGTACTATATAATAATTTATCTTGTATTAAAATATAGTATACATTTGATTGAAATCAATATTTTCTTGGTATAATTTCTTTAGGCATGTTAAATTAGCTGTAAAGATGTATGCAGTTATCATATTTTTAACAATATTTTGGAACAGCCGTAATTTTTCAAATGTTCAGTGACGCTATATTGTTAAAGAATTTTTATATTAATGTTTCTATAACTAAAACATATATATTTAACAGATAACAATGTTTCTCTAATAACTCCACTCTTACGCAAACATAAATCATATATACACTTATAGACAAACAGAACGAACCGAGTGGAAAATCCTGCTGATGTCAACATTACCATCAACATGTATGTAGTGGATTAGATCCTTGGACATCTGGAGCTTAAAATCTCTAAAAAACACTTCGTTGACGAACAGCTAAAAATAAATTTAAACCTAATAATTTCAAAGTTTTAAATAGTAATTACTACACACCTATTAACATTTTTTAGCAAATAAAAAATGTACTTACTTTGAAAAAATCATGCGATAGAGCTATCTTGAACTCAAATTTTTCCCCTTTGGTAAATGGAATATTTTCAACTGTATCTTTCTCATCTGGCCAATGTCCGTCCTTTTTGTAGGTTATCTCCAGACACTTCTGGTTAAAGTCAACCTGAACTTGTAGAGGTATATCTATACTCCGTGAATATTCCTCTTTGTCAGCGAGGCTCACCAAAAAGCTGCAAAAAATAAAAATAAAAATAAATAAAAATAAATAAACACATTTTCTCAAGCATGAGTAAGAAACATTTACAAACTTTGTTTATAGTGTAATAGCAAAATGAAGCGGGAGCATACGAGGCCACAGATTCTGTAAACAATTTTTAATAAGTTGAGGCACTTAATATTGCGCGCTTGACACTCTCGAATCTTAATTTAAATCTGTGTTGGAATTTTAGAAACCTTCTTAGATTTTATATTATATAATAATTATAGTAATTAATTTTATGTTATAAAATTGCGAATATTATTATTGAATACGTTTTGTTTCCAAAAGAATTTTTTTTAATAAAGCTGCAGAAACAGCATATCTACATTTTGTATTTTGAATAAATATGTCTGACATGAAGTAATGACATCTGATTTCAACACAGTATATATTACATTTTGTTTCTTACGGCGCTGTTATCATTGTTAAAATCATTTTTTTTAATTGAGAAAGCTTAATTTGTTAAAAATAAATTTAAAATATTTTTTTTTAATTTAAAAATTAAAACACTTAATGAAATAGTGAAAAAAAGTCAAAGGAAGAATCGAATTTTCTATGGTTGAAAAGACACCTTTTTTTTAAGAACCCTGGTCTTAACCCATCAACGCCTATCACGTTTAGCTGTTTATTATTTTGAAGTTTTTTCTTATAAGTTGACCCTATTACATGTCCGAAATACACTCAGTATTTTCTAAGGAAAAGTGAGAAGGAATCGATAACAGCTGATGTTAACACGTAGGCGTATGCGTGTATTTTTTAAAACAAATGTTTCATTTGAGTCATTTTCACAGGTGACGTTTGTTTGTTAATTAAAAAAAGCATGCAAGTAAAACTAGCTTTTGTCTGTTAATACTAGAGGTCGTTAGTAAAATAAATTTATTCTCCTTTTAAGAAAGAAAATGTTGGGGCCCTCTTGAAATTTGGGCTCCGGATTGCTGCCCTGTCATGTAAAGTACTATATACTGCCGGGCTGTTGTTGATTTTACATACCGTTCCAAAAAGCTTTTCTTCACCACCTCTTTAAGTAAAAAGGCGAAAAGAAATTGAAATAAAAACAATAATTCTTGAAATCGCTGAACACAAATGATTATATAAACCAGTCCTCGTTGCTACTGAGTACCTTTATCAGTTTTTAGATATTAAATATTTTGCTTACCTTTGGGAAGTCTGAGGAACGAAGCCTTCAACAATAATGGTCTTCTGGTCATCTATCGGGTACTTAATTTTCTCAGAGTATGACAGCTCCATCTGGAAAAATAAATAAAAATTTATATTAGAGGAAACATGATTGTATGGGGCATTTTTGTGTTTACATTTGTTTACGTCCATATTTATGTTCATGTTTTTTAGTTCAAGATCAAACTAACTCGTGTTTTTGATTATACAAAGTGGTTGGCGTCATTTGGCGTCACCGGATGCATGAACTGAAACTGTCATCCAGTCTCTAGGGAAATGTTGAATATATATATAGCTTATTTACAGTGCAATTCTGTTTAAGCCCAGAGTGTTTAGCTACTAACCTTAATTTAGGCAAGTCAGATAGTTTACCAGATATAATAATTATACAGTTTTATTTTAAAATATAGGAACTAAATCTTTACATTTAAGGGGATAGGCTCCAGAAAAAAAACCAACTTCTTAATTAAAACGTTTTATTGATTTATTTGAGGATATCTAAGTTAGGCTACCTAAAGGGAAATATTTGCAAGCATCAGGGACTCTTTTGAAAATATGGTTGCCATGGCAAGGGCAGCCATCTTGAAAAAAAACAACATTTCGTGGAGTTCTAAAATTTCATAAACTAACATATATATATATATCGGCTATATAATCATTGATTCTTCTACTAACACTAATAGAGTCAGCTAGCTAGTTTTTGTAACAAAAAACACTCTAGACATTTTTTTTTTAATTTTCAAATCTTGGTATTTTGAAATTTCATTGAAATTAATGCTAAATTTAATGTTTTTTTTACCAACTTTGAAAATTTGAAAAAGAATTAGCGATTTTTCTGTTACAAAAACAAAACTAGCCAGCTGACTCTATTAAGAGGGTACTTAAATATCTTAGGGAATCATATTAGTGAATCAAATGTTTATCACACTGACCAAGTTTGAAAGTCAACTGAGTCTTAAATGTAAACAAGTTGGGTAAATAGTACACCAGTACCCTTGACCCGCCTCAGGGAGGTAAGATTTAGCCGACTAGGACAACACGTAAATTTTTGCTTCAGTGTTTAACCGGCAAAGAAAATCTAAACAATGGATTTGTCGGCACCCTAGAAAAAATAAAAATTAGGTGACCAGAAAGAAGCGGAAAAAAGCGCACGCATAAAATAGCGCAAACAGAAAAAAGCGCACACAGAAAAAAAAGCGCAAACTGAAAAATGCGTACACAGAAAAATGAAAATTCATTGACATTTGTTACATCTCTTGTGACAGCCTTAATTAAGTCCGTTGGGCTTTATGACAAACTCACTTCGAACTAACTCAGTTACATGCTATTTATTTTAACATGACAAGGTTAGCGTCGTCCTATCAAAGCATACACTGAACAGCATAATGGGCAGCATTTAGCCTATATAACAGAGGAGGTTCGGTAGTTGATATCATTTTGCATTCTTCTGTAAACATTTTCAGAGAAAGACCTCCAAAAACCTTCCATAACCTTTTTGTTAGGAAACAAAGAGATGAAGTTTTAGTATAACATCAGGCTTTGACTCAGACCTTCTCCTATGGCGTCTACAATATTAAACTAATTAACTATTTAATATAGGGCTCAATTGGATCATTGAACTAACCTTGCGCCAAACCAGTTTAACAGATTGAGTTTTGTAACATTGTTATCAAGCTAGCAAAATGGAAATGTGCAATGGAAATTTAATTTTGCATGGGCGGCCCCCCGGCAGGATACGATTTGGCGCCCTGGTCTTTCCCGTTAGCGCTATGGCGACTACGTTTGGTCTAAACAGGGTGATAGACAATGGATAGGATGGGGCGTTGCAAACGCTCACTAAATTGAGTCAGAAATTGAGATCGAGCATCTAATAATAGACCATTAGTAACGCTAACATATTGCATCAGTCATACTGATGTTTAAAACACGGCAAATAATTTTTTTACGTGTTAAAGAAAAAATCCTGTTCATTTGTGTCCAATTAGCGAATGACGCAATCTGCATCATTGGCGCCTGTTAGTTTTAAGGAGCCAGGGGCCGTACGCGGCGCCGATGCGGTAGTGTAATCGGGGGAGGGGGGGGGGGCTTCTGAGAGCGCCCCTCTACGTCTCTGACACAGAGGCGGTCACCGAAGTGTGTTCTACCTCATTATTTCGGTGAGTGATTAACGTACTCTTAAGGTTTTCATGCGGTAGTGTAGGTAAACCCGTGTCCCGATATTTATGATTCAAGCGCTAGCAGTACGCTAGTATATATATATATATATATATATATATATATATATATATATATATATATATATATATATATATATATATATATATATATATACGAATTGGTTTGTTTTTGTATTTATTATTTTGAAAAATTTTCTGATTACTTATTATCATACTAGGCATCGGTACCCGTTTCACGTGAATTATAGGCTTATCTATTTTAAAATGTACTTGTTTGAGCAAAATATTTTATGCAATAGTTATAGCTCAAAACGCAATGTGCTTTACTACACGCTGAACGATATTAGTGACAAACCAAAAATAATAACAAATTAGCTAAAAATCAGACACATTTAACATAACACAGGCACACACTGATTAAGTGACTTAAATGGTTCCGTTAAAAATCTGGCTATTCAATAGTCATTACGTTGTTTTTAAAAAAATTAACCCAAATTAGCCAGTTCCATAGCTAAAAAAACAAAGATTTCTATAAAACAATTAAGGCCTGAAATAGTTTAAAAGATAATTTCATTTTTGGAATAGATTCTAGAGTAGATAGAGTCTAAATCTAGATCTTAGCGACTTAGCGTCTCCGTCTAGTTTTTACGTAGATTTAGATCTTGTCTAGAATCTAGATCTAGATCTAGAATCTCTAGATCTAGAATCCAAATAGATAAAATAAATTTTATAACTTTAGGCCGCAAAAATTGTATTGTATACATTTCATAGCGTACGTAGATCTAAATCAAATTTGAATGAAATAGTTAATTTCTTGTTATTCTAAACACGGCAGATGACGTCATTAGTTAATGTATAAACATTAGTGACGTCACTGTTTTATGCGGTTTTTTTCACAACTATAAACGCTTTTCCTGTTGCATAATTAAACTTGTTTTTCTACATTCGAATACGCCTTTTTAAAAAAAAATTTCTTCTTTGTAAATATTATAGGGTGCTCTTTAAAACTAGCGTAGGTGCCATAGTGGTTAGATGGAACCCCAGGGTGCTTCCGAACACGCAATTACTGGGGCGCAGGCGGCTGCGTCTGTTGCAGTTTTACCGCTGAATATAGTAGTATCCTTTTCTGCTATGCAGCAACTTGCGAAGCGCCGTCCATTAGAAATTAGTTTTGTTTCCGCAGAAATCTTCTCTGGATGATTCTCATTTACTCCCAAAAGTTTCATGGCACTCGGACGAACTGTGTGGCACCGCATCCGATTATTATTTGTTTATACCGGATATAGAGAAAAATCGCACCCTCCCCCGGGGCGCCACCCTTGCAAAATTAAAATAGAGATTTTCTGCAGAAACTTCAACTTGAATATTCTCAACAACTTTCTAAAGTTTCATGGCGATCGGATGAAAGGTTTAGTAATACATAAAGGACTAACACACACACACACATTGATTATATATATATATATATATATATATATATATATATATATATATATATATATATATATATATATATATATATATATATATATATATACATATATATATATATATATATATATATATATATATATATATATATATATATAAGCTGAACAGACAATGATGAAGTAAGATGAATAGATTTTTTATCTATACATGTAAAATGACTTACATCGACGTTACAGTTTACAGACATCAGGTTCAACAAGAGACCCATCAACGTGAGTTCTAACGCCAACATGTTGCTACTCGTCACAAGCTCTGAAATGATAACTATGACACCTCAACAATCATATATGGCAACAGTAACATCTTTACTAATATGTTATAGCAACAATAACAGCTTAAGAAATATGTGATACAAACAGTAAGTGATTAACAATAACTCGTCGATACGTATGTAGAAAATGCGCAAGAGATAAGGAGAGAAACAATAACACTACAGCGATTATACAGAGAAACAATAACAACATGTTGTAATGAGTTTTCTTTTATTTTGTTTATACACGTGGATAATGGTAGCAACACCAACCAGTTTCTCTCTTCTCTTCTCACACAGCAATGTTAGTAATGTCACTCTTTAGCTATAGCCCAAAATAAAATGGATGATCGTCTGCACTTAATTGAATCTTAACTAAAGCCACAATCAATCACTCAATCGTTTTAGCTATAGCCCAAAATAAAATGGATGGTCATCTGCACTTAATTGAATCTTAACAAAAGCCATAATCAATCACTCAATCGTTTTAGCTATAGCACAAAATAAAATGGATGGTCATCTGCACTTAATTGAATCTTAACAAAAGCCATAATCAATCACTCAATCGTTTTAGCTATAGCACAAAATAAAATGGATGGTCATCTGCACTTAATTGAATCTTAACAAAAGCCATAATCAATCACTAAATCGTTTTAGCTATAGCACAAAATAAAATGGATGGTCATCTGCACTTAATTGAATCTTAACAAAAGCCATAATCAATCACTCAATCGTTTTAGCTATAGCCCAAAATAAAATGAATGGTCATCTGCACTTAATTGAATCTTAACAAAAGCCATAATCAATCACTAAATCGTTTTAGCTATAGCACAAAATAAAATGGATGGTCATCTGCACTTAATTGAATCTTAACGAAAGCCATAATCAATCACTCAATCGTTTTAGCTATAGCCCAAAATAAAATGGATGGTCATCTGCACTTAATTGAATCTTAACTAAAGCCATAATCAAATACTTAATAGTTTTAGCTCTAGCTCAAAATAAAATGGATGATCATCTGTACTTAATTGAATCTTAACTAAAGCCATAATCAATCACGTAATCGTCACTTCACCCCTAAGCTGGTTGGGGCACCACAAATACTTTTCTCATAATTTTCTACAATTTTTCTCTGTCTTCTGCTGCTCTAATTAACTTCCGACCTGCAGCCGAGTCCACCTCTTGCCGTCATTCACCCGATGTAGTCTTTGCCGTCCTTCTCCATTCTGGCAGCGTATTGTTTTTGACAAGCCATTGGTTCGTGTATCATGCTCATACCAGCTCAGTTTCTTTGCTTTACTATATTTATCAGGTTCTTAAAAGGACCCAGGGGCGGAACTACAGTGCCGCCAGACCCCACAATGCGGGGGGGGGGGGGGGGGAGGCGGGACGCCATTTAGGGGCCCAAAGCCGACCATAGTAATTTTTTATAGTAACCAATTTTTTTTGTTGCATTAATGACTTGATGGTTGTTTTGTAAAAAAAGATTACGGTAGCTGCGGTTTGATTATCTTTATTCTACAGACACCAACCCACGCTAGTGTATGTTCTTTTTCCCTTTGTTTTAAAACCAATGTGAAAGCTGAGTCCTCTTTCTCCTACAATCAAACTTGTCAAAGATAAGCAAACGTTCAAACCACTTCCGTGACTTATTTCCCTTTTTTTAAAAATAGTCAAATAGGGGTGCCCATAAGCTCCTATTAATAGATTTGTACTAAACAAATTAAAAAGCAATTACTTCTCTTAACTAATTTTTTAAAATAAAGTACTTACTAAAGAATGACATTGTATAAAAAGGAAATATATTTTAAATTAATAATATAAATAAAAAAAAAACAGAAAAAATAAACATAACACGAGACACAATTACTTATACAAAGCTTTCATGTTTTATATTCTTTTGACTGATTAGAGTATAAGACGTCTTATAGCAGAGATAGAGTAAACTGATTTTCATAAAACAGACTAATGCATTTATACACATGACATGATGGTGTAATTTGTTTTAATTGAAAAAACAAACAATTTTTTTTTCAAAACCCTAACAGGCCAGAAATGAGTATCCTATGTTCGTATTTTTGTGTTTATATATATATATATATATATATATATATATATATATATATATATATATATATATATATATATATATATATATAGGGGGGGGGGGCTAAAAAATTTTTTGCGGGGTGGACCTTTCTAGTTCCGCCACTGAAAGGACCAATTGCATTAGCTATCCTTTAGGGACTTCTTCATTTGATATGTGATCTCTGTATATGGGGGTCCATGCTTCGTATCCGTACAGGAAGACGGACATTACAAATGACCACATGAGCTTAACTTTTGCGCCAGTCAGATCAAGCACTTCTTAACATTCCTAAGTGCTGTTTTTTAATTGGGTTAGTTCTTATAAAATTAATATTTCGCTCACCCATGTATCATGAAACCATGGTGCTTTAAGGAGTTAACCTTCACAATTTGGCCATTTGCATGTATGTCTGATAGTATTATACTATAGGGGTTGTTGGCCATAAACTCTTTCTTCCCGGCATAATCACATAAATCAAATCTCATGAGAATTATTGTCAGTTTTAAAACAATATTTTAAATACAATTTTAGTTTTTAAAAGTATAACTTGTAGTTTATCCTACAGAAATTACGTAGTTGTATCATCATCTACGCGATAATCAGAATATGTTTTACGTTTATTGAAAAAAATTCACAAGTCTATTTTATTGAGTAAAGTGTACAAAAAAATAAAGTTTTAGTTTTAAAATTTGCACATTTTATTTCTATATTTTGTTATTACTCTTTAACGAAACAAGTTTAAATCTAAAAGACAGCTTACCTAACCACCTGAATGATTGTAGATCTCGACGGTTAGGGGCTGTGTTTTCTTGACTTGGGCTCTTGAGATAATGAATCAAAAAACAAGCTAGTTCGTGGCCGTAAACTGTAAATGAAGATTAACTGGATGCAAGAAAATTGGCATTAAGTTAAGCTGTGTTTAAGCTGTGTTTACCTGGCGTTAAGCCATGTTTATTTGACGTGAATCTCTTTATAGTCATGATGAAATCTGTCAAGCCATGATTACACTAATCTACAGCGAAATTAACTTGTTGAATGAAATTTAACTTAAACATGGTGAGTTCACTAGGTCTGTGTTAAGACCTCAATCCCACTAGGTTTGTTTTAACAAAGTCTAGGCCACATCTCTAAACAAGAAGTCATTTTTGAAGCTCTTATTCATTGTAATTTTTAATTTTTAACAATACTCTACTAGATAACACGCAGACCTTCTTCACATTCCGTATATGTTAAATCAATTGACTACTTTACATTCCCCACATGGTGACACACTGATCTATTTTATATTCCCTACGTGGTAACACACTGACCTATTTTACATTCAATACGTTGTAACCTATAAATCTACTTTACATTCCTTACGCGGTAACTCATTAACCTACTCTAAATTTCCCACATGGTAAAGTGCTAACCCATATAATATACACTACACCAGGGGTTCCCAACCCTGTGCCCGCGGGCGCCGTGGCGCCCGCCGAACGATTCGTATGTGCCCACCTCTCACTATTCGACAGAGACAGAATTTTTTTCATTAACATTATTGAAAGGTTGAAGGGGATGGAGATCGAAAGTTTGAAAGGGGGGGGGGGTGCAAATCGAAAGTTTAAGGGGGGAGGGTGCAAATCGAAAGTTTGAGGGGGGGGGGGGTGCAAATCGACAGTTTTGTCCCCGGGTGACGGGAAGGAGTTTGTCGATTTAAAATAGGTGGTGCCCGCCACCCTACCGGTATTTAAGAATGTGCTCTAGAGTAAAAAAAGGTTGGGAACCCCTGCACTACACGGTAACCATGTACACCTACTTAATTGATTTTTCTTGTTCACTTAAAAGTTTTATCAGTTCTAAATAAATAAAAATAAGCAAATAAAAAAAAAATAATGGCTTCAGTCTGAATGTGATGTTTGCAGAGGCGTAGCGAGGGGGGGGGGCGGTGGGTGCGGACCGCACCGGGTGACACCCGACCTCACTACGCCACTGCTCACCTGAACACTCCTGCAATGTCTAACTTGGTAATCAGAGTACAGACCTGTGGACTGAAACTTGGGGTATACACCTGAATGATTTCTGACACTTCATAATCTGGGGAGAGGGGCGGTTCCCAGAAAGATCCGCAACGGAAAAAAGCGCAACGGAAATGAGCGCACACGAAAAAAAAACACAAAGAGAAAAAAGCGCACACAGAAAAAAGCGCAAAGAGAAAAAAGCGCAAACGGTAAAAAGCGCAAAGAGAAAAAAGCGCAAACGGAAAAAAGCGCAAACGGAAAAAAGGCGCACACAGAAAAAAAACGCAAACAGAAAAAAGCGCAAACGGAAAAAAGCGCAAACAGAAAAAAAGCGCACACGGAAAAAAGCGCAAGCGGAAAAAAGCGCAAACAGAAAAAAGCGCAAACAGAAAAATGCGCACACGGAAAAAAGTGCAAGCGGAAAAAAGCGCAAACAGAAAAAAGCGCAAACAGAAAAATGCGCAACCAGAAAAATGCGCAACCAGAAAAAACAACGACAAATGTGCAAAAGAGAAATTTAGCACAAAGACCATATGGACTAGATGACACATTTATACATGACTGTTAGGGCTGCTGTGAGAGTGTCGTGTTTGGTCATGTGATCTACTACCATTTAAAGCGTACCACTACCATCTGCATTCCCATCACCAGGATACAGGCGATAATCACTTTACACAGTGCCTATTATTTTCTTGTTCAATAATTATTATACTATTATAATTATTATAATTATTATACTATTATAATTATTATACTATTCTTGTATAAATAAACATAAAACTATCGAAATTACACGAAGTATCTTTCACATTCTCCCTAGTCCGAACTACCTAGCTTGCATACCATAACAACCCGTTCCTATGGCAAAACTTCACTTTCTTTCATCCGCGTCATCAAACATGCATTCGTCATATTTCTCGCAACAACATTCATTCGCACCAAAATACCTTATAAAACACACATCATAACGATGATGTATTTACTATTATTTCATAATGAAGCACATACCTACCTACCAACCTACCTACCTCCCTGCCTCCCTCTCCCTCTCTCCCTCTCTCCCTCCCTACCTACCTACCTACCTACCTACCAACCTACCAACCTACCTACCTCCCTACCTCCCTCCCTCCCTCCCTCCCTCCCTACCTACCTACCTACCTACCTACCTACCTACCTACCTACCTACCTACCTACCTACCTACCTACCTACCTACCTACCTACCTACCTACCTACCTCCCTACCTCCCTCCCTCCCTCCCTCCCTCCCTCCCTACCTACCTACCTACCTACCTACCTACCTACCTACCTACCTACCTACCTACCTACCTACCTACCTACCTACCTACCTACCTACCTACCTACCTACCTACCTACCTACCTACCTACCTACCTACCTACCTACCTACCTACCTACCTACCTACCTACCTACCTACCTACCTACCTACCTACCTACCTACCTACCTACCTACCTACCTACCTACCTACCTACCTACCTACCTACCTACCTACCTACCTACCTACCTACCTACCTACCTACCTACCTACCTACCTACCTACCTACCTACCTACCTACCTACCTACCTACCTACCTACCTACCTACCTACCTGCCTGCCTACCTACCTATTAATAATTACATAATTAGCGGGGATTGATCAAGTGCAAATGTTGTAGGTATTTTACGAATAAGCTTGGAGTATTATAATTGTTCATTTGGTTTGGCACCCACGTTCGTTTAAGTGAGTGCAAAAGACTATGAATAAGTTGGGGTACTGTAGTCGATTATTAAGCTGAAACAGGCGATTCTGCCCCGGGCTAGACTGTGAGCACTTTGCGTTTATGTTCGCGTTAGTGTTTTTTTGTGTGTTTAGGTTGGGTTTGCGTTAGTGGTTGCGTTTTGATTTGGTTCGTTTTTGTTCTTTCTTTTTTCGTTTTCGTTTGTGTTTTTTTCTTTGGGTTTGTGTTTGTATTTGTGTTTGTGGTTGGTTTTGAGTTTGGATTTGTTTTGTTTTCGTTTGCTTTTCGTTTGTTTTTTTTCTTTGGGTTCGTATTTGTGGTTGTGGTTGGGTTTGTTGTTAGGTTTTTGTTTTCATTTACTTTTTTGTTTGTTTTTTCTTTGTGTTTGTATTGGTGTTTGTGGTTGTGGTTGGGTTTGTTGTTAGGTTTTTGTTTTCGTTTGTATTTGTAATTGTGTTTGCGTTATGTTTGCGTTTTGTTGTTTTGGTTTTGGTTGGTTGTGGTTTGAGTGGGCAATGCCGGGTTTATGATGATTACTAAACACACAGGTAATGGTCTTTAACAGGAAGGTTTTTCACAGAAGCCAGAGCAGGGCCTGGCCGGGACGGCTAGTATATATATATATATATATATATATATATATATATATATATATATATATATATATATATATATATATATATAGTTTTGATGTATGTTTAAACAAGGATTGGTGTGAACGAATATTAGTGCGAAAGTTAATGACGCATTGAATAGTTACGCGGTTCGCAAGAATGTGAGGTTTTAGTGTAGGTTTGTTGTTGTCGGGGAAAGAAGTTAAAAAGTACACTTGTTCTTGTTGTGTTAGAGTGATGTCGTAATGTAGTCCAGTCTTAGTATTGTTCGTTCAAGTCGTCCTTTGTAATGCAATAAATAGTAAAATTAATGTCATCCTGTCGAATCATTTGTATACCTTGATGTCGTCGTGCTTTGGGAGTAACTACTGAATGGCTAAACAGAATATAATGTTAGTGTTGACCCTCTCATGTAGAGCCCTACATTACATAGTTAATCAGTTTAACAATGTAGATGCCTTTGGAGTAGGTGTAAGCCAAAGCCTGATGTTATTATAAAACTTCATCTCTCTTCTTTTCTTTATAAAAAGGTTATGGAAGGTTTTTTAAGGTATTTTACTGAAATGTTTACCGGACGAATGCAAAATGATATAAACAACCATAGCTCTTCTGTTATATAGGCTACATGCAGTGTTTCTTCCAGACTTTTTTCCCCCCTCAAACTTTCGATTTGCACCCCCCTCACACTTTATATATATATATATATATATATATATATATATATATATATATATATATATATATATATATATATATATATATATATATATATATATATATATATATATACCGAGGGGTTTATGGGGGGGGGGGGTTATGACCCCCCTAACCCCCCCTGCCTACGCCACTGCAAATAAGTATTCGCATAGATTTAGAGTAGCGTCCCTTTTGTTTACATTTTTTCATTACCCTTCAAACAAAAGTCTATTTTAGTTATATTGAGATTAAAGAATGTAATTAAATAACACACACAATTCTGTAGAATAGGAACGATTGGGAGGGAAGTGACATTTAGCGCAGGAAATTTAGAGGATAGGTAGGGTATAATAAATGGTGGGGTTAGGAAAGTTAAGGGGTCCATTCTCTAATAGGCAGCCTATGTCTCTTTCGTACTTTCGTGTTGGTTTATTGTCGAACCTGTACTCACCTCACATCACAACAGTTGGCTGACGCTTACCGTGTAATGTTAAAATAAATAGCATGTAAATGAGTTAGTTCGAAGTGAGTTTTCATACAAGCCCAAAGCACTAATTAAGGTTGTCGCAAAAAGTAACATATATGTAACATATGTCAATGATGTCAATGAATTTTCATTAAAAAAAAAGATGTCTAGTACAGTTTACGAAATTTACGAACTTCGCCGATACTTTTTTGGTGGGTAGGTGGGTAAGTGGGAAGGTGGGTAGGTGGGTAAGTGGGTAAGTGGGTAGATAGGTAGAAAGGTAGGTAGGTGGGTAGGTGGGTAGATAGGTAAGTGTGTAGGTGGGTAGGTGGGTAGTTGGGTAGTAGGTAGGTAGGTAGGTGCGTCA